AGGTGCGAGAGATAGATGAAGAGTTGAGGGAGTGGAGATGAATTTCTGAGTTCTCGGTCAAAAGAATTTAAAGGAGCGATAGAGATATAGGAGGAGAACGTGCACTTGAATCCCCCCAAGCTCGCATCAGAAGTTGAACGTGGAGATGAGGTGAAGACTCGGTCAGAAAGAGATAATATTTCCATTCGAAATTTGTACGAGAACAATTAATATGGGCTCAAACATTGTATCTCCAAATGGGCCAATTATATCTCAAATTGGGCTAGAGAAATAGACTATTTTGGGCTGGAATTAAATCGCTAATTAGGTCCGGGGTTTCCTATCGGCTCGATAATTAAATAATATACGAGACTCGGTTTAATGCGACAATAAACTTACATAAACCGATTATATATATACATATATATATATATATATATATCATACAATAATATTTACATAATTAAGCAATTAGACAATTAGACATTTACGAGCACATAATCGCAATAAAAAAAATAATCGAGTACAAAAATAATAAATCCGGACAAATAAAATAAATAATAATAATTCCATAACTAATCCGAAACAATTGGGGCGCTACAATACTACCCACCTTAAAAGGAATTCCGACCTCAGATTCGAAAGAAAAACAAATACACTAGAATACAAAAGAGTACATAAAGGGATCAAAAAGCGAAGTTCGGATATCTCCTCCTAAGCTCGGCCTCGATCTCCCAAGTCGCCTCGGTCTCGTCGTGTCGGCTCCATAGCACCTTCACCAAACTCACTGCCCGGTTCCTCAGTTGATGGACCTTCTGGTCCAGTACGGCAACCGGCACCTCCTCATAGGTGAGGTCTTGCTCGACCTGCAGTTCGCCGAAGTCCACCACATGGTCGGGATCATGTACATATCTACGCAGCATGGAGACATGAAATACATCGTGTACTCCGGACAAGTGCGGTGGCAAAGCTAGCCGATACGCCAAGTCTCCGACTCGAGCAAGGATCTCAAAAGGCCCAATATAGCGAGGCTGAAGCTTCCCCTTCTTCCCGAAGCGAATCACACCCTTCATGGGCGAGACCTTCAGGAAGACATGATCACCTACAACATACTCGTGCTCTTGCCTTTTCCAGTCGGCATAAACCTTCTGCCTCTCTTGGGCAGACTTGATCCTCTTCCGGATCTCATCGACCTGGGCCAAAGTCGTGCGAATGAACTCCGGGCCCATAATCGTCCTCTCTCCAACTACATCCCAACAAATGGGAGTCTGAACCTTTCGCCAGTACAATGCCTTGTACGGTGCCATCTTGATCGAGGAATGATAACTGTTATTATAAGCCAACTCAACCAATGGCAACGAATGCTCCCAGGTTAGGCTACGGTCCAAGACCACAGCCCTAAAAATTCCTCCAAGTACTGGATTGTTCGCTCCGACTGACCATCTGTCTGAGAATGAAAGGCTGTACTGAACTCCAACCTAGTCCCCATGGCTCGGTGCAACGTCTTCCAGAACTGACCGATGAACCTCGCGTCTCGGTCGGACACAAGCTCCACGGGCACCCCATGAAGTGTAACAATCTCATCTGCGAACAACTTGGCGTAATCACTGGCCTTCATTGTCGTTCGGACGGGCAAGAAATGAGCAGACTTCATGAGTCGATCCACAATCACCCAGATAGAGTCGTGTCCTTTCCTCGACCTCTGTAAACCTACCACAAAATCCATGGTAATGCACTCCTATTTCCACATGGGTATATCAAGTGGACCCAAAAGGCCTCTCGGTTTCTGGTGTTCAACCTTCACTTGCTGACACACTAGACAACCATTCACAAACCTTGCCACTTGGCGCTTCATACCACGCCACCAAAAGGTCTTTCTCAAGTCCTGGTACATCTTCGTGCTACCAGGGTGAACGGAATAAGTAGCACTATGAGCCTCCTTCAGAATTTCACGCCGCAGTTCCCAAACCTTCGGTACACAAAGTCGCCCCTCGGAGACTAAGGCACCATCGGTTGCAACCGCGAATCCTCCAATCCATCCAGCTAAATCCAACTCTCTCATTCGGCAAAGGAATCTGTCGTTCGGCTGCTCGGCTAGAATTCTTTCTCGCAAAGTCGACCCCACAACTAATGATGCCAACACACCACTAGCTCTCAGAGTGGAGTCCACGATCTCTAACTTCAGCCGCTCGAAGTCCCGAACTAACTTTTCCTCCCAAAAAATCGTGAAGTTAAGCGCACCATGGTTCCTCCAACTCAACTCATCGGCGACCACATTAGCTTTCACTAGATGGTAGCTAATTGTGCAATCGTAATCCTTCACAAGCTCTAACCATCGCCTCTGCCTCATATTTAGCTCCTTCTATGTGAAGATGTATTTCAAACTTTTGTGGTCCGTGAAAATCTCGCACTTGCCCCCGTAGAGATAGTGCCTCCAGATCTTAAGCGCATGAACCACTGCTGCAAGCTCTAGGTCATGGGTCGGATAGTTCACCTCGTGAGGCTTCAACTGCCTCGATGCATAAGCCACCACCTTCCCTTGCTGCATTAACACACAGCCCAGAACCATCTTCGAAGCATCGCTATAAATAGTGAACTCCAAAGTCGGATCCGGTATAGTCAACACAGGCGCAGACGTGAGCCTCTTCTTCAACTCCAGAAAGCTCGACTCACACTGAGGGCTCCACACAAACTTGATGTTCTTCTTGGTTAAGTTCGTCAGCGGTTGGGCCACCTTCGAGAATCCCTCGATAAAACGTCGATAATATCCTGCCAGTCCCAGAAAACTGCAGATGTCACTAGCACTCTTTGGTGTCTCCCATTTGCTGACGGCCTCAATCTTCCCCGGGTCTACCTAGATTCCACGGGCCATGACAATGTGGCCTAAGAAAGCCACCCTATCCAGCCAAAACTCACACTTCGATAACTTCACGTAGAGCTTCTCCTGACGAAGGGTCTCTAACACTATCCTCAAATGCTCTTTATGCTCCTCTATGCTTCGGGAATACACCAATATGTCTTCGATGAAGACGATGACGAAGCGGTCCAAGTACGGATGGAAAACACGGTTCATCAAGTCCATGAACACCGCAGGGGCATTACTTAACCCGAACGGCATCACCACGAACTCGTAATGGCCATACCTAGTCCGAAAAGCGGTCTTCGAGACATCGGACTCCTTCATCTTCAGCTGATGATAACCAGACCGCAGATCGATCTTGGAGAAGACACTAGCTCCTCTCAACTGATCAAAGAGATCCTCGATTCTCGGCAAGGGATACTTGTTCTTGACTGTCAAATTGTTCAACTCTCGTTAATCAATGCACATGCGCATCGAACCATCCTTCTTCTTTACAAATAGCACGGGCGCTCCCCAAGGTGAAACACTCGGTCAGATGAAACCAAGGTTTAGCAGCTGCTGGATTTGCGTCTTGAGTTCCTGCAACTCCTTCGGTGCCATTTGGTAAGGGGCCTTTGAGACGGGTCCGGCTCCGGGCAGCAAGTTTATGGTGAATTCAACTTGTCGGTTGGGCGGTCTGCCTGGCAACTGGTCGGGGAAAACATCGGGATACTCACATACAATTGATACGTCCCTAGGTGATGGCTTCTTCTCTTCCCCTTCTCCGATCATGCTCACTAGGTAGCCTTGGCAACTACCCTTCGCTATTCCCTTCATGGCCTTTAGGGAAGAAATGACCTTGGACACGGTCCTCGACTTGGCGCCATAAAACACGATCGACTCTCCATCGGTTAGGTGAAGCGTGACCTCCTTCTCTAAGCATCAGATGTCGGCACGGTAATGGATGAGCCAGTCTATGGCGAGGATGACGTCGAAATCCTGCATGTCGATGATATAAGCATCTGCCTCCAACGATTGGCCTCCGATCGAAATTTCAAGTCCATGTACCATCGTGTCGGTAGAGATCGTCTTTCCCGAAGCCAGACAAACCTCGAGTGCATCAAATCTACTAACACTAGGGATTCCCAGTGACTCCAAGCATTGACGAGAGATGAAGGAATGTGTGGCCCCGGTATCACATAAAGCATATATAGGTACATTCGATAAAAAAAAAATCGAGTACAAAAAAAATAAATCCGGACAAATAAAAAAAATAATAACAATTCCATAACTAATCTGGAACAATTGGGGCGCTACAGACGCGCTGCACGTTCGAGAGGGGATGTACCACAAAGATTTTGTCGAGCTCCTTCATCCATTCCAACACCGCCTTGGGGTTCTCGGTCCCAAAAAAGCTGGGTGGGTTCATACCCTGGAACTGGACTATGAGCCTTGGAAAGTCCCGATTTGGATCAGGAGGAGCCTGCTGATGAGGCGGGGACGGAGGCGGGGATGGTTGCCTGTTGTTGCCAGTATTGCGACAATACATAGCTCTACATTGAACAGGCTGAAAAGTTTAGCACAATATATAATTTCTAGAGTTCATCACCCAAACACTTGAATTCGAAATATAACAAATATGGTTAAGTCCTAAGCCCCATATAAGATAAATAAAACAACAAACTCATACCTAGAGCTGGCGCAGCGAGACGAAAGCAAGTGGTCAACGGTCATTAAACATACTAACACTAGAGATAGTCTACAGAAACGCAGACTAGCTCTAATACCATACTGTAACGCCCCATTTTATTTTAAAGAACTTACCGATATTATTTATAAAAATTAGAGTTTATTTTTCGCAAAATGTCAAATTAAAAACTTGATTATCAACGGGCGCAACTTAACTACCAAAAACAACTACACATATACTAAACAAATAGATAGAACCTACACATGCATAAACTAACAGTTATAAAAATCAAACCTACTTATCCTTAAGTCTCGAAAAAAACCAGATAGTTCAACATGATCCAACGGTTCATCCAACATGTTCATAAAAAACCAAAGCGGAAGCATAACTATCCAAAAATAAAACAAGTAGTTCAGCATGATAAATAACAGGTGGAAGCAAGAGACAATAAGAAAGCAACAACGAATGACCACCACTCGATCGTCTTCTCACCACCGCTGGCAGCTATGCTCAACCTAAAGAAAGGGATGGGGAGACAAAAAGGAAAACAATCGGGGATGAGCAAAACTATCATGCTCACCATTACCGCACTGTATATCTCGCATAAAGATTCAAAACCATAAATAAAGTATGCATAGAACCAAGCTCTAACTCCCTACACGACCCTATCGCAAACCTCATATGTACATAAAACAACCTTCCGATCAGACATCGGCAAGGAGTAACTGTTGGGTCTATGAGGAACGTCAAACAACATGCACAGTATTGAACTTATCAAAATAAATCCTAACGCAGCGGAATCTATAGTTAGGATGTCGACATTACCTTTTAAATTTTTTTGCCGACTTAGAGACGATGTAGAATACCGTTGATGTAGTTCGTTTGAACACCACAATCTAATGGACAGATAGATTTGGCCTTTACTCGATGCTAATCGAGAGTTCAGAGGGGACTTGATCGCACGGTGCACGGGTCTCAGCGTCGGGTGCAGCGGGTAGGTCGCGGACGCTTGTCGCGGTTGGAAGCAGGTGTGCGTCGGGCGCTGGGCGTGACGCGCGGACAGCTGGACTACACCGACGGGCGCTGGAGGTTGCTGGGCGTATGCCTATGTCGAAGCGAACTGGGCGTGCGCGTCTGGGACCACGCGAGCGTGTGCGGCAAGTATCCTGGGCGCGCAGGGAATGATGCGCGCGTGATCCTTGCTCGCTGGGAACGATTGCGAGCGGGCAGTGTGCAGCAGGTGCGAATGACGAGCAGGAGCAAGTCGCGGGCGGTACTGGGCACTCGCAGTTGTCGCTGGGGATCGCTGGAGGGACCTCGGCGATGCGCGGCTGCTGGCGGTAGCTAGTGGCTGCGCTCGGTTGGGTTCGGGCGATGTCCGGCGGCGATGGGCGGTTTCCGGCAGGTTCTCACGGCGGCAAACGGAGGTGATCAAGTGGGGAAGATGACCAGAAATATATGAATAAAATGCTCGAATAAATTGTACCAAAAAGCCTTCTAATGGATTACCTAAACGACTACTTCGATTAATCTTGGTGTAGCGATTAATCGAATCTCCATAACTCTCGAACAAAGCTCTTTCTCTTGTGTATGTAGGAGAAAATCGCCCAGCTCAAGTCTTTTTCAAGAGGTTGGGTCATGGTGTATTTAAAGGCTCCATTAGGGACCTTAAGGAGGTGCTAAATATGGACTTATCCCATTAGGCCAAGGAATCCTAATTCTACTCCAATTACTAATCCAATTAAGGATAGAATTCTTCTACTACTCATCACCTTCTAGAAGACTCTCAAGTATCCTAACATTAGACAATATTCTAGTAGGAATATTCCCTTCCTAATAGAATAATAAATATGGAATAAAATTAATTCCTTATTAAATAGAATTAAATTATAAAACATCCCTCTAGAGTAATATTATTGCTCTCCCCATTTAACTCCTAATTTATCAATAAATTGGAGACTCCATGATTAAATAATATTAATCTGATTGATCGATTTACCTCTCTATATTTAAGATATAACGTCCGTTGATTGATTAAATTACTGTCAAAATTTTATTCATTTTGAAATTAGTACCACTCAGATTCTTAACCATTATGTTAGCAATCATCTACCTGCAGGGTTTTAACATAATGTACATTCCTGAGCTCATTTCGGGGACGTCATCAATCCAGAGCACTGGAACATAGTGACCATAAATAATTTATAATAGCACATCATATAATCATTCTCGTTTACCAAAATACCTTGTATGTCATCCTAATAAAATAGGAATCACTTGGTAAATCAAATAAACAAGAAGTGAATATATATGCCTATTTTATATTATCTTACAGCTTAAGAGAACGCATCAATCATCGAAGGTCTAGATTACAACAACGATCAGTGAGTCTCATAATCTTATCCTTCTACGGTCCTGTTCAACACTTATCATAAGTGCTAGTATAATTCTTCAGTCAAAGACCAACTGAATCAAGAATACACTACAGTCTTTTTCCAAGAGGGGTCTTACTGCGTGTCTAGACTGTGAACGAATAGTTTAGTCTTATAAGGAACTGATAGGTGATCTTTTTGTTCGAAACAATTCGAACCACACTATCTCAATATAAGACAAGGAGTATGATTTGCATAAATTAATAAACTGCAAACATATGTACTTTGACTGAAACATGATGGCCAGATCAAAATGGAATTGATAGAATCTGCAAAACATAGCTTTTACAGCATATCTCTAACAATCTCCCACTTATGCTTTATAAGCTCATGGCTAAAACTAACCACAATTTCTTTCAATCTAATTCTCAAAGACTAGTCTACTATGTCGCTCTAACGTCTGACTCCCATTCTTTCTACGTGTCTTGTAAAGACTTTCGCCAGTCGGCTCTTCGTAAAAGGATCTGCTAGATTGTCCTCTGACTGTATCTTGGCAACAACGACTTCTCCTCGTCCAACGATTTCTCGTATCAGGTGTAATACAAGTTTAACGCCCAGCCGGCCGGGAACCGCTTGAGCTTGCCTTCCTCGCCGTTAGAATGCCGAACTTGCACACTCTCACACCGGAGGTGTTTTTCGGTGAAGAGCCTCCAACGCTCAAGTCAGGCCTTGAGAAGATAAGAATGTATGTGTAAATATGTAAAAGTATGAGAGATTGTCTAGAGTGAAAGATCTCGTCCCTATTTATAGGGACGAGCTACCTGCTTGCATGTGCCTTCAAGGCGAGTCGCGTTGAGTCGTCTTCCCTGCTCGTCCGTAAGGTCGCGCGCCTCCACTACTCTCGGTGCTAGAAACGCGTCGCATGTGTCAGAGAATGTCAGAGTTTGTTATTGCGTTGGACCACTCTTAACATGCCGCGTGTCCCCCTTTCACGTGCTAGAGATTCTCCCGTATATTTCTATGTTCGACCAAAGCTGGAGTGGATGTTGAGCTGTCCCTAAGGTATGAAGTGATCGACTCCACGACCACGCTTATTTGACCATATTTCCTCGACCAGATCCTCGAGCAGCCAGTGCTTGTCTTTTACTACCGAATTCGCCCTTCTTCGTCATCTACTCTTTCTCCTTTGCTATAGCTGTCTGGTCCGGCTCGACCAGGCCACTGATCTATTTTATTCGGCTAACCCTACGAACCGGTCCGGTATATAATATCCCATATCATCTAGTCCCCCCCCACTCTGGTCGAGTATGAATGACTCGATCTAAGAGTGAGCTTTATCTGTGCTTGTCGCGCTTCGCCGTGGTGGTTTCGACCAATTGCTTTGTTTCGACTTCTTCCTCGACCTTTCTCCACTATAACCGCCATTTTTGTGTTTTGAGTTTCAAATCCCGCCACCTGTCCACCTTTTTAGACGCGTCTTTTCATCTGTCAGAGGTCATGATTGACCCGTGAACCGCGCTACCTCGAATCTCGCACCTGCCTCAATGTACTTCCTACCTCTGTCGTTGGATTTTTTGCTTTAATCCTACGGCTGATACTAAGACGTCTTTTCATCTTTTCCTTCATCTTGGCCCTTGATGTCTTGTAATCGAACGATCGAAAATCTACTGTGTTCATTCTTCGCGGTATAAATACCCATCCTTGGAAAATTTTTGCCTTTTCTCACTTCTGCACTTTACCGCAGTACAAGGCTTTCTTCGCAACTCTCGAGCATCCCTACAATCCTGAGCTCCTCGTCTCCTCTGCAAGTCCTCCACTATTCACCATGAGTAAGTTTTCTTCAATCTCCTGCATTTACATATTTTATGTGCTTCTGATTTCTCCGATCTCCTCCCTTCCACTTCCTCGCGGCCTCCCATCTTTTCTCCCGCAGTGCGATCTTCTCTTCCCCTTCGTCTGTCATGTTTTTCCTGAAAAATCCTTTGGGCCTCCCCTATATATCTTCTTTAAAAATTTCCATGGTTTTTTCTTCAGACTCTGCAACTTCCAGTGAGAATGATCGCTACATCGGCGAGGATATGTCCCCTCCTTCCTCCTCTTCGACTGTGAGCTTGTCGAGCGAGTCTGTCGGAGATTCTTCAACCCGAGACCATTAGTATAATCCGTCTGACGATTATCACAAGCAGCCCCTCCACAGAAGCCGTATCAACCTACAGAAGATGTATCAAACCAGCCCCCTCCTCCTCTACCTTCCGCGAATCCTCGTCGATTCATTGGCCAGGATGATGAGGATGAGGCCCAGGATGA